ATGCATAACAAGTGATTGCGAAGACCATGGCCTGTATCAGACGCACCTTAGTCTCCAGAGAGACACCATTGCTCTTCAGTACTTTGGAGAGGTCCCTATAGATTTATATATATTTTATATAGAGTCCCTGTTTTGCGGTTTTGTCTTATTATAAAATAGATGAAGAATTTGTACCTCTTAGCACCTTCATTACTTTATTTTGTACTTATTTATAAAATATTTCAGTTTGTGTCTAATAATCAGGGCCCATATAGGAAATGAAGTGCTATTACCAAAATTATATTGATTGTCCAAAACATCATTGAACAACACTGTTCTGTATCATTGTGCCATTATTTTATTCCATCTTTAAATCAGACATTGCTGCTCGTCTCCTACTATCAAAGGATCAATCTCCTTTCCCCCTCTTCTACTAAAATGGAAACCAAGGCATTAGAAAATTCCTATTTTAATTTCATAAGTTTGACCGTCTTGTGTCTTGAAAGTTTGGTATCTTGCTGTCTGTGTATTGGCAGGAGGGAAATCTATCCTGAGGGATGATAGGTCTCTCCTGACTGTTCAGAGCAGGTGCTAATTTGAGTCAATGACAACTTGAAGGACATAGATAATGAAATGCTTGAGAACAGTGGTGGCTCAGGGGTAGTTCAGTCTCTTCTATTTGGGGTACCTGAGTTGGATACACAGTTAGTACACCTTCTGTGTATCCACTGCTCTTCTGTCAGTGGAGGTTTGTATGTTGCTAGGGCACTAAATAGATTTCAGCAGAGCTTCCAGACTAAGAAAGATTAGGAGTAAAGGCCAGGTGATCTACAAAGAAAACATAACCTTTGAAACCCTGTGGATCTCAGTGGTCAAATCCTACTGTACATGGGGTCAGTCTGTAAGAGTTGAGGTTTGTCTTATGGCTGCTAACCTCAGAAAAATGTTCCTATCTTTGCCCTAAAATCCAAACACTTGACTTCCTTGCCTAAGAATAATGTCTTGGGAAGTCTTAAATTGCCTCCTTGTCAACAGAAAAATCTGATTTTCATTTTATGCTTGTGTGCTTAGCCAGCAGCAATGACTCAGGGCACTCAAGGGACAATCCGACCTGCTTCCAACTTTGATGCCATGAGAGATGCAGAAATTCTCCGAAAAGCGATGAAGGGTTTTGGTAAGAAAACAGATTCCCATGTACACCCATGTTTATTGTGGCTTTGTTCACAAAAGCAAGGAGTTAGAAACAACCTATGTGCCCATTAGCAAGTGAGTGGCTAGAGAAGCTGTGGTATATTCACACAATGGAATACTACGCTCCATTGAAAAACAAGAAACTCAAAATGGGTGACTCTGGAGGACATTATGCTGAGTGAAGTATCTCAGTCACAAAAGGGCAAATACTGCATGGTGCCACTGTTGTAAAGGGGGGAGACTGAGAAAGATGGGTTCAATAACGTATACTGCATTTAAACAGATGAGGGAGAAAACTGTTTAAAAGGGATATGTGATTAGTTATTTTTGTCATGACAGGAGTCCAGAGCGAAGGCTGCATAGTGGAGTGGACCTGGGGGGAGGGATTGTAAAACAGTGAAAGAATATTTCTTCTACTTTTCCAAGAGGATAGTGTACTGGAGGGGAGGGTTGGGAGGAGAGAAAAGTGCAACAATGAATGGAAATCCAAAGTCTCTGCAAATTTTCATTGAAATGAATAATAAATTAAAAAAAAATATTAAAAAAAAGAAAACCGATTCCCCACCCCCGCTGCCCCTATGAAGTATAAACTAACTGATTCTAATGTAGAGATAATCTTCTATCATTAACCTAATTTTTGTGTCAGTCTATATGTAAAAACCTCAATTTGTTATGGGACGTAGTGCCTTATAAGCGTTCTGAGAGCATCCTGAAGTCACCTTCATTCTTCCTGACCCCTCCAGGGACAGATGAGCAGGCAATCGTGGATGTTGTGGCCAACCGCTCCAATGATCAGAGGCAAAAAATTAAAGCTGCTTTTAAGACCATGTATGGCAAGGTAGGTGTCGTGTGTGTTTTTTTCTTTTCTTGAATGAGCACAGTCATTTACAGTAGTTTGTAAACTCCACATTAATGTCAAATTGTACATCTCTGTACCTGTGATATAAAGCAAAGATAACTAGCCATCACCTCCTCTGGAGATTTTTAATCTCAAAATCATACTTTTTATACTATGTCTTATTCGTGATAGGTAGGTACTAAAAAAGTGGACTGTGATGGTCATCACGATCAAGAGCTTGGTATTCATTGGTCTCATCTTCTCCTTACAGTGAGATTAAAGGCTGTTATGATAGAGCCTCTGGTCTTTCCAGTCCTTAGCATCATCTTCTACTTAACTCCTTTCCTCTGCGCATGCTGTGTATTACAGTTACATGGGAACTTTTTTTATTTTTCTCTCAGTCTGCAAGGTGTTTTATTGGGCAGACTGGGGTTGGGGAGAGAAGCTGTGCCTAGAAGGTGGTTCTGGGCCTCCTGGTGGTGAACCATGGCTTGTGCTGGCAACACTGAATCCGGTGGAGCAGTAGTCACAGAACTGCTTGACTGCGGCTGGCGATGCTTGTTGTCTGTGCTCTCCACCTTCATGATCTGGATGGAGTAGGCATGGGCACAATGCCAAGCGCCAATGTCATGGTAGCACTAGGTGACGGTGCTTGTGGTGGTCAGGGTTTGGAAATCCCAGTACATGTCGTGGGTCTCACTGCAGGAGTCAAAGTGCAGTCAGATGCCAAATTCTTCATGTTCAACAGAGACTTTGTGAATACTTGCCCACAGTACACAATCTCTCCAGAAGGCTTCTTCATCTTCAGCTGAGCGAAAGTACCAGAAGCAGGTCTTGGTGACGACTTGGTTGGGGACAAAGATGCGCATGCAGTCAAGTGTTGGTGTGTGACATGTGGGCAGGCAGTGGCCCACCACCTTGTGCACACGAACTGTCCCTGAGGCCTTCATGAAGATCCCTTATATGGAACTTTTTACAGTTCCTTATGTAAACAATAATCTTTCTTACTTCCGTGGTAGTCTTATAGCTTTCCCTCTTTAACTACTTGGCAATTTCCCTCAAGACTTAGATATCAGCTACTTTCTAATGTTTCTTTACTGCTTTAGACGGAATTTAATGGTGGAATTCTTCCACTGATCACATCACCCTTTGTAAAACCTCTAGTATCCCTAATTTCATTGCTTTCCCCAAACTATAAGCTCTCTTAGGGGAAACCATGTCATATTTGTAGCACCAGGAACAAATGAGCAGTAAATAATTCCAGCTAGATTCTATAACTATGAAATACTATTCTCAAATATAATAGGAAAAGCTGGGCAACATTTGCTTTCCATTTAGATGTTATGTGCCATTGAGTAACTTGCGACTTATAGCTATGCTGTGTACAACAGCCCCAAAACTTGCTCTGTCCTGTGCCAGTCATTCTGTCTCTGACACAACCACCCCAATTACCCCAGTCACTAAATCAGTCCATCTCATAGAGGGTCTTTCCCTCCTGCACTGTCCCTCCACCCTCCCAAGCATGATGTCCTTCTCCATGGACCGGTCTGTCCTTACAACATGTCCAAAGTATGTCAGATGAAGCCTCAGAATCCTTGCCTCCAAGGAGCATCCCGGTTTAACCCTCTCCAGGATGAATCTGTTTGTTTTCTTAGCAGTCCATGGTACACTCAGTACTCTTCTCCAGCACCACAGCTCAAAAGCATCCACTCTCTTTCTGTCCTCCCTAGTCATTGTCCAACTCTCTTAAGTATAACAAGTGATTGCAAAGACAATGGCCTATATCAGACACACCTTAGTCTCCAGAGTGACACCATTGCTCTTCAGTACTTTGGAGAGGTCCCTAACAGCAGACTTTCCCATTGCAATATGTCTTTTAATTTCCTGACTGCTGGTGCCAAGAGTGTTGACTGTGGAGCCAAGTAGACTAAAGCTGTGAAGAGTCTCAATCTCTTCACCATCCATCCTGATGCTGCCAGTTGGTCCAGTGGTGATAATCGTTGTCTTCTTTATATTGAGTCTCAATCCATATTGAAGGCTGCAGTCCTTGACCCTCTGCAGCAATCACATCAGCAGAGAACTGCCAGAAGTCCAGGCTGGGTTTAGAAGGGGTCATGGTACTAGGAATATTGTAGTTAATGTTAGATGGATCTTAGCAGAAAGCAGGGAATACCATAGGAATGTCTATCTGTGTTTCATTGATTAAGAAAAGGCATTTGACTGTGTGGATCATAACAAACTGTGGCAGACTGAGAAGAATGGGAATCCCAGAACACTTGATTGTGCTAATGAGAAACCTATTCTTGGACCAAGAGGCAGTAATCAGAACAGAGCAGGGTAACACTGTATGGTTCAAAATTGGGAAGGGTGTATGCCAGAGGTCTGTCCTATCTCCATACCTTTTCAGCCTGTATGCAGAACACATTATCCGGGAGGCTGGGCTTTATAAGGAGAAGTATGGCATCATGATTGGTGGAAGATCTATCAACAATCTGTGTTATGCAGATGATACAACAATCCATTTAGATAAGGATTCTGAACATTTCCAGATGTCTTCTCAGAATTGGGAGAAGGGACCCACTTTGCCTGCTCTTTTTGCTTTTGTGGCCCTCCCTAGCCAGATCTACTTCTTTAGTCTTAGGATTGACCATGTGACACCCACTTTAGACTCACTTCTCTCACAAAAGTATCTTTCATGTTGTGAATTTCCTTCATTCACATCTAGTCTATGTATGAATTTCCTCAAATGTTACCTTAGATTAAAAACTAAATTCACAACCTACTTCCCTTATTCCCAGCCAGGCTTCTCTAGATTTCTCTATTAATAAAATTCTGTTGTTAGCCTGCTGTGGAGCCTCTTGGGTACCACTTTTGTATTGGTTACTCGGTCAATATTTATCCATTGTTTGTTGGATATCTGGTACTTCCATATCCTAGTGACCGCTTCTTCACAGTTTGTTGATCTAATCTGTAAAATGATATTTTTAAATTGCCTTTTATCTGTTTCCCTGTTTCATTTCTTTTGTGTAAGTCTAGGCTATTATTACTTCTGCCTTAAGGGTCTGATAACCTGAAAGTTTTCATTTATAGCCTCCACATTAATGAAATTTTTTTGCATGAAAATTTTCATTCTCCCAGGAAATATTTTTTTAAAAATTCTTAACTCTTTAGCTTTACATCTAAGGAAATAACCCAACATAGAGTTAAAACTGGCTATTAAAACACTTCCTGTAATAAAATTTGTTCTCTTATTCCATTTGACAGTCTTTGGAAGTTCTTGGCTCTATACTAGTGTTTCTCAACCCTCAGTGAACATCCAGGTTTCTTACGGAATTTAAAACCATGCACACAGACTCTTTAAACATGGATATTTCTTAAATGCTTTCAGATTATTTTAATTCAGAATTTGAGACAGGGAACCCCATTCTCAGTTTCTTTTTGTTTTTCCTTCATGTCTAAAATACCTTTCGTCTTCATTCTTTCCCTTATTCCCCTTTTCTTTTCCTCTTTACTTGATGATTTTTATGTATTCATAAAGACTTAAAACACTCTGATGGTGCAGTGGGTCAAGTGTTAGACTGCTAATTAAAAGGTTTGTGGTTCAAATCTCCCAGCCACGCTGGAGAAAGATGAGGCAGCCTGCTTCTATAAAGAGTTACAGCATTGACAACACAAGCGGGCAGTTTTATGCTGTCTTCTAGGTTTGCTCTGAGTTGGAATTAGCTTCATGACGGTGGAATTTCAAGACCAGATAAGGCGTCCGTGTGATGTGGTGGCGGCTAACCAGAAATCACTGGTTTAAACCCACCAACTGTTCCTTGAAAGAAAGATGTAGCAGTCTACTTCAGTAAAGATTTATATCCTTGGAAATCATACAGAGTAATTCTGCTTAGTCCTACAGGATTACTATGACATGTAAAATTGACGTGTAAGCAGTGGTTTGGTTTGACTTTGAGTTTAAGATTTGAGGTGAAAGCTTTATGTGAGATCTTTTAAAAAAAATCATTGCTGTCAAATTGGAGCTGTCTCATAGGTGGCTCTCCACTGGGTTTTCAGGAGTTTGTAAATTACATGGAAGGAGATTGCCCATGTCTTCCAAGGAACGGCTGGTAGAAATGAACCATCAGACATTGCCTTTCAGTTAGCAGCCTACTGACCAGAACACCAGGGTTTTCTTGAGTTCTTTAGCCTGCCCTAAGCTTTTTTTTCTGTTTCAGTGTTCTTATTTATTTCTCATCTATGTATGTGGTGTTGTACATGATATTTTATATAATGTGAATAAAAGATATTTATCTTTTCAATTGGAACAATGCTTGTTTATTTCTCCTCATACAACTGCAAAATTGTACTAAATATTTTACCTGTTTATCATTTTGTTACTTTTAATTCTTTTGTTTCATGTGCATCTTTATACATGAGAGAGTGATAACACTGTTAAGAATTGTTTTGGTGAGCTCTGGTGGACTAGTGGCAAGAAGGTGTACTGCAATCCCAGAGGTGCACGGTTCAAATCCACCAGATGCTCTGCTGGAGAAGGAGGAACAGTCGCCTCCTGTACCATTCAGATCTGATTTGACGGTACACACACACACACACACACAAAATAATAAAATTAAAAAAAAAAGAATTAAGTGTTTTCTTGATAGAGTGAATAAAATACATTTCCTTATTTACAAAAAACTCTATACATGCATGTGTGTATATGTGTACACTTATGTTTAATTTCAATGTAGATACAGGTATTCCTAAGATAATTTTATTTTTCTATAAAATATTTAAACAAGACATTTTTAAAGCAAAAATTGATATGGAATTATACTTAGATTTTGTTTGTAATTTAACAGGATTTGATCAAAGATCTCAAATCAGAGTTAAGTGGAAATATGGAAGAACTCATCCTTGCCATGTTCATGCCATCCACATATTATGATGCTTGGAGTTTACGGAATGCAATGAAGGTACTGTATGCCATTTCCTTTGACGAATTTATTATTTTATATGTAAATGCCACAAATTATGGCCGTCCTGAATTTATTTTGATAATTAATTCAGCGTGTTCCTTTATCTCATCTGAATATGTAGAACTTTTTTATTCTTATAGCCAATGAGAACTTTATGAAACTCTAAGATTTCATTATTTTCAGTGGTTTTATTTTTCTTCTGTATAATTTGTTTACTTTAATTCCATATAGGGAGCAGGAACTCAGGAACGAGTATTGATTGAGATTCTGTGTACAAGAACGAATCAGGAAATCCGAGAAATTGTCAGATGTTATGAATCAGAATTTGGACGAGACCTTGAAAAAGACATTAGATCAGATACATCAGGGCATTTTGAACGTTTACTTGTATCCATGTGCCAGGTGAGTGTAGCATTAATATTTACATACTGACAGGGAACGTTCTTTGCTCCTATTGCCAGTGAGCATTCTTTATTTCTTTTTACAGTTAGCTCCCTTAGAAACTTATCATCTGTAAGACCGACAACATAGAATCCAATGTAAAGATTTCTTTGTGGTTACTCTTAAGTTTATTTTTGCAAATCTGGCTTTTTGTAAGGAATCACATTATCCTCTAACCATTAGTTTGAGCTCTCTGGCTAAATGGAAATGAATTTGTTTTAAATTTTAGTGACGGTTTACACAGAGATTGGTTTTAGTCATTCATTCATTTATGCATACTTCTTCCCTCCCGTTTCTCCAAATTTGTATTTTTAAGCATTTTATGAAACTTAATATTGCCAGGTAAGTATGACTCTCAACTGAGGGTCTCCTGGACTGCAGTGGAAATGCTATTAGAAATAAGAACTGTGTAAGTTGAACCACAATTGCAGAAGATTTCAGAGTTTACAATAATATTATGGTTAGTACCTTCCTTATTTTGGGATTGCAGTGCAGCTTCTTGCCACTAGGCCACAAGAGACTTTATTTTGATCTCCAAATGTTCTGGAGATGTGGTAGAAAGTACTCCAAATAGAGTATTTGGAATGTTAGTAGGTATTTGGAATGATAGTATAAAAGTGTATAAAATGAAATAATATATTTGAAAGAATTTGCAGAAGATTAGAATGCTGATTCAGTGTTCGGTGTTACTAGCTATCTTGTTCGTGTACAAGATTGGGTGGTTCTGAGCAATCTAATGGCAGAACGGCTCTTTTTTTTTTCTTTTAAGTAGATATCACAAAGGTTTTTCACTTAAACTTTTAGTATTTGTGTGTGTGTGTGTGTGTGTGTGTGCGCACGCCATCAAATCAGATCTGACTGGTACAGGGCAGAATGGTTCTTAAGAGTAAAGGAGTGCCTGAAACTATTGCACTGAGATATCTTTAAACCTTAAGCCAAGGGAAGCTCTGGTGGCCTAGTGGCAAGAAGCTGCATTGCAATCCCAGAGGTGAACGGTTGGAATCCACCAGATGTTCTGCTGGGGAAGGAGGGACAATCTCCTCCTGTACCAGTCAGATATGATTTAACAGTACACACACACACAAATAATAAAATAAAACAAAAAAAACCCTTAAGCAAAAAATATTCCCTTAAGTCTTCTTTAAGAAAATAAATGTGTGTGCTTATATCCATACTATATGTATGAGTATTTAAATTTTTATTGTGATTTGGGTACTAGTTACAGAACAGATTGATAATCCCCTCATCCATTCATATGTTTTGTTTTATAACTTGGATTACAATCCTCACATTGGACTCTCACTTGTCCCACTCTCTCTGGTTTTGTTTCCAGTCATCCTTCAGTACTAACCCTTTCTCCTTTTTTACTTTTATCCCTGAAAATATGCTTCCCATGTAATCTTGTGTGACTTATTGCTGTAAGGACTCGATATTCACATTATATATCTGCCCTTTGGATACAAGTTGTGCCCTATGTTCAGTTTCAGGGCCATAGCCTCAAGGGTCCCAACAGTCTCTATTAGACCCACAAGCTAGGACGCTTTTATGATTTTGAGTTTTGTTCCACATTATGTCTGGCTAATGTTCTGGACCCTCTACTGTGGGCCTTTTTAGAGTGGTCTGCAGGGTTGTCAGGTTCTACCCAATTCTGCTTGTCTCAGATTTACACCAGCAACTTGAAGATTTGATAAAAACATTAAGGAGCAGTACTTTTATGTCAGTGGGGAAACAACTCAGAAAAGGAGAGCAAGACTGAATAGTAGCACAGCTCAACTACTATCACTGAGTTTTGCATGTAGACACTGTTTAATTGGTATATTTTTTTGCTGTGTATATTCCCAACAACAAAAAAAATAAATTCTTTTAAATAGTGATGAGAGGTAATTGTAGAAAGGATAGTATGGGGAAATGTGTGAATGTGGAAATGAAAAATTAAGCATATGAACTGAAGGAAATGAGATTTACCTATGAAAGAGTAGATTAATCTATTCAGGAGTAGATTAAGATAAAAAAGGAGAAATAAGTAAAGGAACAGAGGTTGATACTCAAAGATGATTGTTAAGACTTTCTATAGGGTTGCTATGAGTCAACAACACTTAACAACAACATCAACATAGAGAGAGCTCTGTGGGATAGAAAGTTATACTACCAAGTCAGAGGTGGGTGATTTTAATCTGTGGCCCTTGGGCCTGGTTTTAATCTGTCCATTTGCTGTACAGAGGTAACTCATGGTTGCTGTGATGCTAAACACTGACACTAATGCATCAAATGTGATAATGGTTACCCATGGGGAACAGTGTTTAGTGGGGCTCCCCAATTAAAACAAGCTTGGAAGCAGGAGTGGCATCTACTTCCAAAATAGCTAGCCTCTGGAAACTCTATGAACTTTGAGAAATGATGAAAATTGTACAATTGTTCAGGCCTTTCATTTATAACGTTGCTATGAGTCATTTATAACTCGACGGCACTTAACAACAACAACATAGGGTGCTAAGGTTTTTTTATGAAGGATTCAAAGCCTGGCTAATTTAAAAATAAAAGGAACCACTTTACGATGAGACCAGAGCAGTGAGTGTTTTCAGAATGTGAATCTAAAGGCAATAATATGAAGGGTTTTTTTTAAGAACCTTTTCTGTGTTGTTCTTTTTTTTTTTTTTAATTTGTCTGCATGTGTACTGTCAAATCAGATCTGACTGGTACAGGAGGAGATTGCCCCTCCTTCTCCAGCCGAGCATATGGTGGAAATGTGTACTCTGGGATTGCAGTGCATTCTGTGTTGTTCTGATCTCTACTTAGAGTTTGTGCTAAGTGTGCTCTCCTTCAGCACTTCTCTACTTGGACAAAGTACTGAGACTCTAGGGGGTAGCCTTTTCCTTTTTTAAGCTTGTATTTAAATTTTTGGGAGAATTCAACAGGCGTAGTCTACCTCCCTGCCTTCTTCCTTTAATCCCAGAGAAGATTTTTATTTACCAATTGACAAGTCTCCGGCATTATTTTTTTTTCCACTTCTATATTAGGATTACACTTAAGCAGAGAAAAGGAAGTTCTTTGAAGTTTCCATTTATGTCATTCCCTCAGACTTAAATACCTTGATTAAGAAATCTTGTGTTTCTAACACCTTGCATAGTGCCTAGCATAAAGAATGTTCTCAATACCCTTTAGTTGCATGTAGGAATACAAAGTGGAAATTAGCGTAATGCATATTGCCATTAAGTTTCCACTAAGGCAAATTCTGTGGGGCATTGGTGATTTAATGGTTATAATTCTCCCCATGGGAATCTAGTTTAATTCCCACACAAACAGCAAACTTTATGTGAAACCACATGTGTTTCTATGATGTTAAATAAGTTTTAGCAATTTCTAGACTGAAATGGATTAGGAAGAAATACCTAGTTACTTCTGAAAATTAGAACCGTCTAATTCTGTTGTGTATGGATTGCCATGCGTCACTGACCAACTTGATAGGAATTAACAAGGATAGTTATAAGCCCTTCATTTTAGTAGTAGTTTATATCCCCTATAATGCAGTAACATTAGATCTTATCTCACTTTAGGAAAAGGAAAGAGAATCGATACTAGCCCGGAGCTGTTTCCTGTGAAGTGGACATACCTCTATTGCCCAACCTTTTATGAATTCTGACATCATTTGTCCTCCCTATGATGCGTTTGCTAATTGTTTGTACTGGGCACACAGAACTAATGTACCATATTCATAGTTATGGGGTTTATGAAGAAAGTCTCAAGCTCATTTCTTTTAAGTTGAAACTAACCTCCAGTGGGGTTTCAGAGACTGTAAATTGCTTGGGAAGAGACTGCCCAGCTTTCTCCCACAGAGCAGCTAGTGGATTCCAATAGCCAACCTTTGGGTTGGAGGCGCAACTCCGTATGCACTAGGTCATCATGTTACGTATCAAATTGGAAGTAACAGTATACAAGGACACAGTTCATCATAAGTCAGGACAGCTTCCAGCAGACATGGTTTTCAGTTTCTTCTTGGCCTCTGTTGCTGGTTCCCATTCCGGCAAATGGACCTTATTGCATCAGCAAGTCTCCAGTCTGAAGAAGCTTTGCTTTTCCACCCTGGATCAGTGAACCCATTTCAGCTTCCTCATTTTGTGAGCCAGGAAGCTTGCTGCAACCATCTCATGTCAGTCTCTTGGGTTTTACCATTTGTCCCATCTTGCATTGTTTTGTGTTGTCTCCAATCTAGGAGGTTCTGAGTGCAGAACTTCAAGTCTAAAGCAAATGCTCCACTCCTGGCCTCTTGATAGTAGTAAGGTGTCCCCCTCATTCTTTGTGGGATTAGCCCACTGATACGCCTACTTCTTCCACTAAAACCATAAATTGACCCATCTTCTAATTTTGCATTGTTATGTGCCATTGAGTCACTTGTGACTCACAGTGACCCTAACACCTGTTCTATCCTGTGCCAGCCTCACTGTCTCTGACACACCTACTCCCATTACCCCAATCACTGAATCGATTCATCTCATCGAGGGTCTTCCTCTCTTGTGCTGTCCCTCAACCCTCCCAAGCATGATGCCCCTCTCTAAGGACTGGTCCCTCCTTGCAGCATGCTCAAAGTATGTCAGATGAAGCTTCAGAATCCTTGACTCCAAGGAGCATTCTGGCTTCATCCTCTCCAGGATAAACCTGTTTGTTCTCCTAGTAGTCCAGGGAATATTCAACACTCTTCTCCAGCACCACAGCTCAAAGGCATCAATTCTTTTTCTGTCATCCCTAGTCACTGTCCAACTCGCGCACCTTAGTCTCCAGCCTGACGTCATTGCTCTTCAGTCCCTCACAGCTGACTTTCCCAGTGCAATTCATCTCTTGATTTCCTGGCTGCTGGTACCAAGAGCGTTGACTGTGCAGTCAAGCAAACTAAAACTGTTAACTATCTCAATCTCTTTACCATCCATACTGATGCTGCCAATTGGTCCAATGGTGAGAATCTTTGTCTTCTGATGTTGAGCTTCAATCAGTATTGAAGGCTGCAGTCCTTGACCTTCTGCAGCAAAAGCAAAAGATAAACTTGACAAAACCTTATGAATTTAACCTTTAAGAAATTTGCTCTAGAAGTGATTCTTTTGGTTATTGCAGTCTTGAAATAAAAACCACACCCTATACAAAAGAACACAACTTATATTACTTTCTTCTAGTTCTTAACATTTTTCTTTTGCAGGGAAATCGTGATGAGAACCTGAATGTAAACCATCAGATGGCTCAGGAAGATGCTCAGCGCCTCTATCAAGCTGGTGAGGGGAGACTAGGAACAGATGAATCTTGTTTTAACATGATTCTTGCCACAAGAAGCTTTCCTCAGCTGAGAGCTACAATGGAGGCTTATTCCAGGGTATGAGCTTTGCTTTTGAAGATTTGGCTCCTGCTTTAAAATGTAAAAAATATGTTAATACCACAATTTTCTTATTACAGATGGCTAATCGTGATTTGCTAAGCAGTGTTAGCCGTGAGTTCTCCGGAAACGTTGAAAGTGGTTTGAAGGCTATCTGTAAGATCCTTTTCTGTTTTGCTTTAAAATGAGTGGGTTTTTGAACATTGTTCTCTTTTACTGACTGTAACCCCTTTGGGATGAAGCTGAGCAAATTGTTTTTAGAAATATTTCCCTTCCTGTGAATAGCTGGCAGTATGGTCAGAAAGGGCTATTTGGCAGTGATTCTGTATGCTTATCTTTTAAGAAAGAAATGGCTTTAAAATCCCCACGGAACAACAAACTCCACCATACTTTGAGCCCAAAAGACATCTGCCAATTACTTAGCCCAGTAAGACTTGTTTTCCTTTTGAAATAACAAAACCAATTTCTGCTGCCTTGCTGATGCAAACATCTAATGGAATGGAACTTCTCTGAGTAATTACTGAACTAAGGAGAGCGGTATTAGCAATGGATAACAAAATATTATCATAGTAATCATAACTAGTGTAATAATGTAAAATTAGCATATCTTTACCGTTTGAAGGAAGAAAAAGTGTTTGAACAATTTTCCTATATAAGAAAGTGTCAAGAGTCTGAGCATCATCTGTGCATTTTGTTCTAAGTTAGAATGTCTTTCATACCTTCTCTTACCAGAATATATGGTACTTCTGCACTTCCAGAATTCAGATTTTTCAATATTCTTTTACAATATGCTATTAAATGTGACACAGTTGCTACAGAATTTCTCTTTTATGGGGAAAATGTAAAGAAGAGAAAATGGACTTTATTGGCCAGAGGGAATCTTCCACAGTTAAGGATAGCTTGCGTGATGCAGATAGAAAAATAGGTGCTTAGAAAAATCATAGGAGAGACCATCTCCAATTTACCTCAAATTTAGACATGATTACACAGCAATAACCAGAGTGGGCCAGAAGTAATAAATTAATCTGGAAGTTAGACCTGTTTGTCAAGTCAGGCCTGGGATGATTGTCTCTGAACCTGCTCTTGCAGTGCAGTGTGCCCTGAACCGCTCTGCCTTCTTTGCTGAGAGGCTCTACTATTCTATGAAAGGTGCTGGGACAGATGACTCTACTTTGGTCAGAATTGTGGTCACTCGAAGTGAGGTGAGTATTTCGCTTTGTCTGGCCTTACTGGTTTATCTGTGTCTTACTTAAAAGTTCCCGAGTTGGTTGTCAATCCCTGAGGAATGCTGGTGGAAAGCACTTTCTCTGTCCTGGAGGAGAGACTGTTTATAAAGTATGGTATTCATTTTCTCCCTGTTGAACTTGAAGCTTCCATCACTAAAGAGACCATTATGCCTCAGTGAAGGAAATAGCAAGAGATTTTCTTACTTGAGAAAGTCTGTGGATACTGTGGGTTTATGAGAAAGTGGAAGATAATTATCTTTGGATTTTTCACGTCCCTTGTGTAAAAAGTTGTATGAAAGACCCAAGCATAGTAATGTGGCTATTATGTCAACCTGAAAAAGGTCATATGTTTTATAAATGTCTAATATTTTTAAAATAATAAACTAGTACCATTTCTATTCAGTATTTTTATAGCATAGTAAGTAAATCAGACCTTCTTTGGGTGAGCACTGATAAAATGCTTCCTATACAGATTTTTCCCTACTTGGATTACAGCTAGAATATTTTTGTTACTAAAGGATAATCATAATAAATACTAGTTTTGTGGCAGCTTTGTTTTCTGAGATCAGAAATTTTATTTTTTATGCAGATTGACCTTGTACAAATAAAACAGATGTTCACTCAGATGTATCAGAAGACCCTGAGCACAATGATTGCAAGTGACACGAGTGGAGACTACCGAAAGCTGCTGCTGGCCATTGTGGGCCAGTAGGAGGGAAGTTTTTATTAATGAATTTTCTACCCAAAGCTTACTCTTCAAAGCACTGACTGTCCTGCATGTAGCCATCTCCATGATTACCTAACCAAAAGAGCTTTTTACTAAGGACTGTGTCAAGGTAATGTGCTTGGTTTGCACATGTTGTTATTGCCTTAATTCTGATGTTACTTTGTCTTTTCCATACAATCAGTGTAAAACCATATCACAATGTAATAATATAATATTTGTAAAGCATAATTCTTACTGCTCTTGTTCTAATCAGTATATAAAATTGAATAAAAATCACAGTAACCTAATTCTGTGTGGTATTGAATTGGACAACAAAGAAGGTTTACCTGTCATAATCTTACTAGGTTCTTTGGATCTATGGTTGGAAGTACATCAAAACTATTACTTTTCTTAAAATGCAATGCTTTGGATATAAAAGAGTAATTGATAATCTTATTTTGCATAGCATTGGTATCCTTTATTCATAAACACTTTAACTTTCCACATAGAAAAGAAGTGTTGCCTCTTATGTGCTGTTGAGCCAAGTACAACTCATAGCAACTCTGTGTACAGTAGATCGAGACTATGCCTTATCTGAGTGCACCTGACTCAGGCCATGCTATTCATCTGAGAGCTAAATGATGAATAAGAATGATAGAAAAATAATTGATGCCTTTCAACTGTCATCTTAGAGAAGAGTACGGAATATCTCACGAACTGCCAAAGCAACAGATACAGCAAGAATGCTCTTTGGAGGCAAAGATGACAGTTTCATCTCACATGCTTTGGGCAGGTTGATAAGAGAGGCTTTCTTGGAAAAGGACATCATACTTGGAAAGGGTTGGCAAAAGAGAGGAAGATCCTCAACTAGATGAACTGACACAATGACTCATTAATGGACTCAAGCATGTCGGAAATGATGAGGATGGCATAGGATAGGACAGGGTTCAGGTCTGTTGTTCATTGTCTCTATGAGCCATACTGCACTCGATGGCACCTAACAACAGCAACGTGCTGTTCTCACCATCTCTGTCATGCTCCTGTAAGCTCATTGGTGCAGTCAGTGGGTCAATAAATATCACTGTGTGGTTTTTTTCTCTCTTTTGATAACACTACATTTCTAAGCATGGCATCTTTTCCAAGGACTGGTGCCTCCTGACAAAGTATGTGAGATGATGTTTCACCAACCTTGCCTCTAAGAAACTCCTTAGTTGTGCTGCTTTCAAGTCAGATATGTTCTTTTGGCAGTCAGTGAGATACTCAAAACTCTTTGCCAACACCACAATTCAGAGGCATTGATTCTTTTATCTTTTTTATCCATTGTCAAACTTTCAGGTATTTACAAAGCAACTGAAAATATCATCACTTGGGGCAGGCATGCTTTAGCCTTTAAACTGATATCCTTGCTTTTTAGAACTTTGGAGAGGACCCTGGCAGATTTTCCCAATGCAACATGTCTTTTGGTGATTTTTTTTTAAGAGGAAACACCTTTGGCAAGCTCTGATGGCCTAGTTCAAGGACCTTCACTGCAGTCCCAGAGGTGCGTGGTTCAAATCCACCAGATGCTCTGCTGAAGAAGGAGGAACCCTTGCTTCCTGTACCAGTCAGATCTGATTTGACGGTACACACATTAAAAAAAAAATAAACACCTTTAATACATGTGCTAAAATGGGAGGGAGGAGATTTGCCTTTCCATGCCTTGATTTTTCTCAGATAGAACTCCAGCTCCTTCCCCACTAGCACACAGCTATCTGCATGGCTACTCTGGCCTGACCATGCAAGAAGCTTGTCCTGCTGGACCTGCTCTTCTAGAAGACTGTTGATTTTTGCACTTTTCCCATTCATCATTCTTTGAATTTTCTTTAAGCACTTTTTATTTAAAATCTCTTCCTCCTGAGGAGGCAGCTTGGCCCCTTGGGACCCAGGAGCAGTGTATACTGGGCCTTCTTCCAGTGGCGGTATGATTTGCTGTCAATGAGCACGATGCACTTCTTCACTAGGGTCTTAGTTCGGACCAGCTCGTTATTGGAGGCAATGTAGACAACATCAATAAGCCTTGTTTTGCGAGTTCTAAGAATCCCAGGAGAAATTCCCCACATTCAATCTTAGGCATGGCACATCTCTTACATGAACCATGTGAGCACCATGTGTGAACCATGCATTGGGGGTCAATCTTAGTGTTGACAGCGCCCAACTCATACTTGCACTTCTTGTGGTAAGGCTTTCTATTGCCCCTGGTCTTGCAGCACTTGTGCCAATTGTCCCAGGAGATGCCCACCGCACCATGTTGACTGGAAAGAGAAAACTCTTGGTTTTTGATTACTACCACCATGAATGTTGATTGTTGATGAAGCCTTAAGTTAACCTGTATGTAGTAACTTAGAAAAGGTTATTAAATACTTACATGCATGAAATAGATGAGCTACTTTTATGTTTACTACAATGCTAAGGATCTTTGTCTGATTTTGAAAAAATATTACTCATGAAAGATTACCAAGTTACTCAGCTTAATCATGTGCCTGAAAGTGAAGCACATGATAGGTGCTCAAAAATGAATGAGTGAACCTTAAAGGCTTTTCTTGGGAGAATTCAGTGGTAGCTCTTTGGAATAGTCCAGAAGTTCACCGGTTCATGTGCAGTTCTTAGCAATTATGCATGGAGCACGTGGTACATTATTCTAGATAATAAGGAAAAATGTAAAGGAAGGACATTTGTAAACAAGGAAAGATTCCAAATAAAAATTGGATACAAAGAAATTATAAATGTTAGGGTTCTAATAATTTATAATCTGTTTTATTTTACACAGAATCTCTTGGCACAAACCAGGTAAGATTTGGTAAATCACTGTACTAAAAAATGAGAGGAAGAATAAAAAGTAATTATAACTCAAAACAAAATTCCTCACCACTGAGTCAGGAGGCGACATCATGGTAGAAGATTGAGGTTGTCAGTGATACCATCTTACTTGGATACACAATCCACACCATTGGTTAGCACCAGCAGTCAGGAGATCAATAGACATTACATTGGGCAAGTCCACTGTCAGGACTTCTGCAAACTAAGGAATAATGATCTCAATTTGAAGACTAAAATGCTCCTGTTTCATGTCAGGGTCTTTATAATCACTTGCTCCACATCTGAGAGCTCAACAATGAAAAAGAATGACAAAATAATTTCTATCTTTGAGTTGTGGTACTGAAGAATAGTACTGAATATCTCCTGGAAAAGGTATCTCTTGGAAAACTACAGCTCGACTGCTCCTTGCAGAAAAGGATGACAAAGCGTATCTCAACTTTGTCCATGTTGCTAGGAAAGCTATTTCTTGGAAAGAGACATCATGCTTGGAAATGTCAATCGTGAGAGGAAGACCCTCAACCAACTGGACTGACCATGGGCTCAAGTATGTCAGAAATTAAAGAGGATAGTACATGATAGGACATGGTTCAGGTCTGTTATTCATAGGGTCTTTATGAATCATACTCAACTTGATGGCACCGAAGAAAAAAAAATTGAATTTGTATAAATACCAGTGGGTATGCAAACCAACGTAAGACACAATCTTACCCTCCTTAAAAAACAACGACCTCAATGCTGTCAAGTCAGTTCTGACTCAGAGACTATGTTGGGTTTCAGAGACTGTAAATCCTAAAGGAAGAAGACTCCCACCTTTCTCCGAGGAAAACACCTTTTACAGAGTACAGAGATCCTTAGCTTGCTTTCTCATGCCTAATTGCTATTGGGTCTAAATTGGCTCAGCAGACCTTCCAGCAGGTTTCCAAGGCTGTGAATCGAATGGGAGGCGACGATCCATCTTTTCTTAGTGCTGCTGTGGATTTGAATCTCTGAGGAGCTTCTGGTCTTTGGGTTGCAGGCAATGCAACTCTGGATCATGATTTTAGGGAGATGCAGTCTAGACAAGTATAATACAAGTAAATACAAGTATAATACAAAGTACATGGGTATGGGGTGACAGGTTAATAATTTTTAAAATTTCATAAAAAATGTTAAGCTTTGAGGCATATTATCACTTTTCTGCTCCTAAGATGGACCCACTCTTGAGTATCTCTTGCATAATAAACTCTCCTCTATAGCTTTCGTCTGTCTTAATACTTTTTTTGCTTGGAAAAAAGACAAAAAACCAACAACGGTGGTAAAAGTAAACAAAAGTGGGATTTAGTAAGGAGGGAATAGGGTATTAAGTCAAAAGGAAAGATGTTATGTGCCATCAAATAACTTGCGACTCATAGTGAGAGCTCCGAACCCTGCTATATCTTGAGACAAATTCACTGTCTCTAATACATCTACTTCCATTACCTCAGTTATTGTTAATCCATCTCATTCAGTGTCTTCCTCTCCTGTGCTGTCCGTCTACCCTTCCAAACATGATGTCCCTCTCCCAAGAACTTGCTTCTTAACACTCTCCAAAATTGCCTTTTTCATAATTCTACCAACAGCTGTTTGAAGAAGGCTTTTGCTACTAGATGTATTTGAGTCAGTGTCTGTTAATAGCAACCTTGCATGTGATAAAAAACACTGCACCATTTTAAAAATTCTTTTAATGAACATTTAGAGATTTTGGATTTCCATTCATTCTTTGTTGCACTTTTCTCTCTGCCCAGTCCTCCCCCTCTCCCCAGTTGGCTCCTCTCTTTGAAAAGTAAAATTCTTTTTTTGGTATACAATCCTCCCACATCCCTCCCACTGCCCCAAGTACACTCCACTATGCAACCTTAATTCTGGACTCTTGTGATAAGCATGATACCCTATCATACATCGCTTTTAGACTATTCTCTCCCTCATCTGTTATCCAGTTTTTCTCAGTCTTTCCCCAACCTTGATGTCAGTCCCATTCTACAACAGTGGCACCATGCAGTATTTGTCCTTTTGTGACTGAGATATCTCAGCATAATGTCCTCCAGGGTCACCCATTTTGAATGATATTGCATGAGTTTGTTTTTTCAATGCAGCGTAGTAGTCCATTTTGTGTGAATATACCACAGCTTCTC